TAATTCGTTGTTGACGGCGCAATGGGGCGAACGTCAATTTTTCAAAAAATTACAAAAGAGCAAGAAAACATTTATTATTCCCCAATTACTAGTTTTTTTTCATCATAAAATTAAATATATTAGACTTAATGGAACACTACAAATAAGATTAAGTTTCTGATGAAAAAAGCTAGTAATCGGGTAATAATAAATATTTTCTTGATCTCCTGTAATTTTTTTTGAAAAATTGAGGTTGGCCCCTTTGCGGCGTTGGCGACAAATTGTAGCACGAATGGGTCGACTCGATCGGGTAGGACCACGCTCTCACAGAATACCAGCTTAAAATAGCAGATTAAAACTGCTGTGTTTCGTATGGTGAGTGTAGAGAACCGGAGACCCTTTTAACTGGAAAAGGGGCATTTCATCTCAGTCCTCAAGGTTGATAACGCATCTGCATTTTGATTCACAAAGGAACATATAACATAAGGACATAAGGATAATGGTGACAAACGAGCACACACACAGTCCACCTGATGGTAAGTGGTTGCTGCGCTCATAGACATCTAGATGTAGATATTCGATTACGAATCATAATACATGAGATGCGTTGTCACCCTTGAGGACTAAGATGGAATGGACTGAATAGGTCTTCGGTTCTCTACACTCACCATACGAAACAGCAGCGTTAAGCTGCTATTTTACGCTGGTATTCTGTGCGTGGTCCTTTCCCGGTCAAGTCGACCCATGCTACAACTATACTATTAATATAGCTGCAGCATGGCTCTACCACGTAAAAAACTTTAATATAAATTTAAGCATACATACGTCACAAAAATATAAAAGTAGCAATAGGAAAAAAAACAAATAATACTTTTTTAATAACATTTTGATTAAAAAAAAAACGTGTGCTGCAGCATGAATTATACTGTATATTATATGCAAACATAGAAAAATTTACGTATCCCAACCTACCCGTGCCCGATGTAACTATCATGCATTTTCAGAGACTTGAGGGTTTTTTTTACACACATATTGACGATAATATTCGACCAGGATATACAAGACAAGATATATATAATACAAGACCTACATAATATAAGCCACGTAACTCTGACAACTAGTATATAAAAGCTTTTAGAAAAATTAACTTCGCAAATATCCTCGTTATAAAATAAAATGATGTGTCTTACCTAGTATGAAGAGCACCTCCCGCCCTCCGTCAATCGCGTGCACTATCCCCGTCACCACTAATCCCAGCACCGCTACTCCCAACACCACTACACTAGGCAAGACACACCACTGACGATAATACGACACATGTTTCGCCTCTACACGAGGCATCCTCAGGTGATATAGACTCTACGGTGGCTAACCGCTAAGATTAACCGATAAGAGTGTAGTCACAGTAAATATATAGTAGGAACAGTATGGAAACTTCCTACAAACGCTCGAAACGGCACACACACAAACATGCGCAACGACGAGACTTCTAAGCGCTCGTCGCGGTGCTCTCAGTAGCGAGTGCCGCCTCAAGACTTTAAAAATGCCACGAACGTATTGCGTAGTATACGGCTGTTTGAACTCTGCTTCATCCGGACATCAAAACCGGAGCTATCGTATTTTTATCGTATTTTTTAAGCTTCCTGCTGATTTTGAAAGGTAAGAATGATTTTCATTGTTATTGTTATAATCGTTATCGAATTATAAGTCCGTGTGATCGATCATAATGAATTCGTAAACTTATTTGTAAATCCAGAATGCGGCGGTTTTGAGACTATTTAAAGCTGATAGTGCAATAGTAGTAACAAAAAGTAAATCCATGATGGCGGCTGCAATAGGTATCATTTTTTTCGTCATGGGTGCCATTTTCATGTTTTTCGAGGGTGATGAAGCCGATAGTGCTGTTGAAATGTAAATCCAAGATGGCGGCTGCAATAGGTATCATTTTTTTCGTCATGGGTGCCATTTTCATGTTTTTCGAGGGTGATGAAGCCGATAGTGCTATCGAAATGTAAATCCAAGATGGTGGCTGCAATAGGTATCATTTTTTTCGTCATGGGTGTCATTTTCATGATTTTTGAGGGTGTTGAAGCCCCGTTGAAGTTGAGTGCTGGCAAAATGTAAATCCAACTTGTCGGCTGCAATAGGTATCAATTTTTTCGTCATGGGTGCATGGATCACTAATAAAAAACATGGGTGTCATTTTCATGATTTTCGAGGGTGTTGAAGCCCCGTTGAAGTTGAGTGCTGGCAAAATGTAAATCCAAGATGGCGGCTGAAATAGGTATCAATTTTTTCCTCATGGGTGCATCGATCACTAATAAAAACATAGATGTCATTTTCATGGTTTTCGAGGGTGTTGAAGCCGATAGTGCTGTCCAAATGTAAATTCAAGATCGCGGCTGCAATAGATATCAATTTTTTCGTCATGGGTGTCATTTTCATAGTTTTTGAGTATGTGGAAGCCGATAGTGCTTTTGAAATGTAAATCCAAGATGACGGCTGCAATAGGTATTAATTTTTTCGTCATGGGTGTCATTTTCATGGTTTTTGAGGGTGTTGAAACCGATTTTTCGTTGTTGATTAAAAAAAACCACAGAAACTGCAAAGTAGCTGATCTCATTTACAAAAAATAAAAAAAAATCGTTTTCATAGTACCCTGTTCTTGTTTCCTAACGGTTTATTTAAAAAAACCTGTTCATTAGAATGATAATTTTTTACACAATTAAATTCAATAATAAAGAATTCTGAACTTGTCGTAGCAGACGAAAATATCTTTCTGTAAATAATTTGTAATAATGAAAAATAAAGGTACGTTTTCTTCCAACCGCGGCTCGCGTACGCTCTCGCCGAAACTTGTAAAAGGTTACGCCGTAAAGACAAAGTTAAAGATCTATAGTTCTACAAGTTGTTGTGTGTTAATATTAAATTGTTTTCCGTGTTTGAACTACCGTTTTTTGCCGAGATTACCCGACGCCATGAGATTACCTATTTAAATTGTATTTGTAAACTAGTTATTTAAATTATAAACAAAAATATAAAAAAAGCAATATCTAAAACATTAAAAGTTACAACCCTATTGCTTCAATGGAGCGTAGGTAATTATGTCCTCAACTAGGCTTAGTTTCCATACTGTTCATATTTATACTGTGGTGTAGTGGTGTTGGGAGTAGCGGTGCTGGGATTAGTGGTGACGGGGATAGTGCACGCAATTGTGGGAGGGCGGGAGATGCTCTTCATATTAGGTAAGACACATCATATTATTTAGTAAATTTTTCTAAAAGCTTTTATATAATGGATTTCCGCAAAGTAACGCCTGATTCTATTAATTATACCTGACAACTAGTCTACATGGTTGTAGGTTTATGTCTCATATCGTATATATAGAGATCTATTGTTATAAGTGACCTTTAGCCAACAACGTTAGAAGGGATGCAGGGTTAACCAATGATGAGGGTCTAATTAATTCTCTAATCCAAAGACTGTTTATACGAGGCGATCCTACCGTATTTATAATGACGTCTTGTTAATGAGTCTCGATAATGATTTTGTCTTGTCATGTTGTATATAATATAATATTTATGATGACTAGCTGGTACCCGGCGTATTGCTGCCGCAGAGGAAATAGTTGTGGAAATATCGTTTTAAATTTAAAAGAGAAATAGTGTTTAATTAAGTATGATAATACATTGAAATTGAATGATATATAACTTTCAAATAAATTTGTTGATACTATGTCGTAATTTACCTATACTGTAAGATAATTTTTTTATAGGATAAGGGTGACAAACGAACACAGTTCGACTGATGGTAAGTGGTTGTTGTAGCCCATAGACATCTACATCTATCCTTCACTACGAATCAAAATGCATATGCGTTGTCACCCGTGAGGACTAAGATGGAATGCCTCGTTTCCAGTAAAACGGGTCTCCGGTTCTCTACACTCACCATACGAAACACAGCAGTGTTAAGCTGCTATTTTACGCTGGTATTCTGTGCCAGCGTGGTCCTTCCCCGGTCGAGCCGACCCATTCGTGCTACAACTATACCAGACAAAAACAGAGGGGTGTTATAAGTTTGTAGTGTATATCTGTGCGTCTGTCTATGGCATCATAGTTCCTGAACGAAAGAACGCAAACGAAAAAAAAAGCTTAATAAAATCATTATTAATTTTTTTTTGCGTTTGAAAGATGTCTGTATCGAGAGTGTTAATTATGTTCCAAAAAATCTGTTCAACCGTTTGAAGATCATCAGTCTTTTCGTTTCGGGAGTTTTTACAATTTTTAATTTAAGTTATTTATAATTGGTTGGATTTACCATAATCGGCAACCTTGGCAAACACTACCCGATGTTTTTATTTTTGACGCTGTTCCCATTTTTTCTTTTAGGAATTGTTTGTTTGATATAAATACAAGGTGCTTAAATTATATCTATATCACTCCATTGTATTCAAATATTAATTTTTAAAAAAATTGAGAAATAAAGAGGATATCTGCGGAGATTCTTCTTTTAGTTTTTCATCGACCGCAGTGACCTCGTTTCATAATTGCCAGTAGATTTGGAAAAAAAATCATTTTATAAACGATTTTTTTTGGAATAAGAATCACAAACACACAGTTTACTTGATTGGAAGTGGATGCTGTGGTTCATAGACACCTACATCTATTCTCGATTAAAAATCAAGATGTTGACGCGTTTGCACTCTTGAGAACTAAGACGAATTCCTTAAGTCGAAGAAATAAATATATGAATTTCATTTCATATTATGTTGCCGTTACTACTACAATCCTCTGCTAGACATAGGCTTCCCCCATAGACTGCATCATAGGGTCTTCCCCTATACTGCCTATCTCATGGTTTGTCTCCCTATTTCGGCTCTTACGACATCCATGTTAGGATATAGGGTAATGGATATTGTAACCATGTAGTGGCGGACTACACAGTTAATCTTATATGTAATAAGATTTTGGTTTAAATACTTAATGAATCTCCTCTAATACCAAATGATTTTTCTGCTACAGCATTCGGTATAGGTTCGATGATCTACTCGGGACTGGAGTTCGGCCAGTACTGGGAGCTGGAGAGAAACACAAACTGTCACAACGTACTGCTCGCCCTTACGCCCGCGACGAGGATGATCTTCATATTCATACAGATGTATTTTATCTTTCTAAACAATGAGGTATGTCGGTTTCTATTAGTTTGTTTTATCTATATAAATATATGTATATAATAAATATAAATAGTAGGGAAAGAAGTTACATCCTATGTACGTCTAACTACTGGGCACTGGCCTTCTAACATTCCTGAGAGGGTTTTAGTGCAGCTAGTGTCTTAGCGTGTGTTAGTGGGTTTATAAGAAATATTATTTTAATTTCTCAGACATTTAGGTTTCCTTATAGATTTCCTTCACCACCGGGCACATAGTAAATCAATTCTTAAAATTACAATTAAGAATTTCTAAGAAAATAAATTCATGGTTTGCTCGCATATTGTAAAATTTACAGTCAGCGCTTAGGGCTTTGGCCATTCAACATAGGTCTCTCCCATAGATTGACTCATAGGGTGGAATTTGCCATAGTTGGCACGCTTGACAGACGAATTAACTTGAAAGATGAAGAACGCAGTTTTTTATTATTTTTTAGTTATTATCAGGAAAATGCTGCTGCCTAATAAATGCTGTTAGATCACCTCTTACACACACATGGGACGATATAGGGTAATGGATATTCTTACATCGCCACAACACAAAACAACAAAAAGTTAACTTATTTACAATTGAATTAATCTCGAAAAATTGATTGATAATTAAATCCTTCGATAGTGGAAAGCTTTTAACATCAAATATGTAAAGTAAACAAATTGGCAACTTCATCCTCCACTATGGGTAAATCTACCACGTAATACACTAAAAAAGGTCATTGAAGTGAATAGAAAGTGTTACAGAAGCTATTCTTCTCTAAATCACCGCCAAACATTTTATATTTAAAAATAAATATTATATGTATAATTAAATTAATTTTTCAATGATTCAAATATTTATTTTGTATCAAATTACAAAAATATAAAATGATATATACTTAAGACACTAACTAATTTATTGTTTGTTTCTCGTTTTTGAATTAGGCAGCGTGTTAAAAATACTGCTTACAGGCTTTCACAAGATTTTTCATAATGATAATTATGACGGATTCGAATATCACTTTGTGGAAATTCATTTCAATTGGAATTTCATTTCACCGTTGCTACGGTGAACGAAAAAACTGCTATATTGGCATACATAAACTATGTGACGTTAACTTCCTGGCAATAACTACCCGCATTAATACTGTATTTGTGAACACTTCTGAATTATGTTTGTAGTACAGTACAGTGTATTACGGTTACAGCACTAATAACTAGACTCGAGCGGGAAAGTACCACGCTCGCATAGAATACCAGCGTGTAATAGCTGCTGTGTCTCGAACTATTACCAAATACTATTTTTACTGGTAACGAGGCATGCCATCTTAGTTTTCAGGGGTGACTATGCATCTACATTTCGATTCTTAATAGAGGATGATAGATGTAGGTTTCTTTGGGCCATAGCATCCACATAAGCGTAATCAGGTGGATTGTTTCACTCGTTTGCACTTAATTAGCACTTAATTCCTTGCTATTAATATTTATCTTATATCTATTATCGTCACTGCGTTGCTAGCGATACGTTTTGCCAGCAACGCAAATTTCCACAGTTCGTTGCGGTGAACATTTTAGAGCAACTAATTTTTAAACTTGGCACCTAATTACCACCTATAAAGTTTTTAATTTTGGCTTTTTCTAAATGAAAATTCCTGACTTTGCGTTGCTGGCGAGATGCAGCTCAAATCTTGTCATTATATTTTCATTTACTGTCTAGTGTAAGCTATGCTACGCTTTATTCTTAGTTCAATGAGGTATTTCGGGACATAGTAGCTCAGAGGTCAGACGCCCGTGTAAAATTTCATAGTATGCAAGTAACGCCAGTTCGATTCCTGCCGGTTTCAACCATAATTCAAAATTAAAGTGTAGATATACAATGCGCTTGTTGATGTAGTAAAAAACTAGTATGTATGAAAAATTATAAATTTTTTCAAAGAGACGTAAATTTCGCCGATTTGCGCTGAGCAGCGTGTTGGTCTTTTACACGCTCCTAGATACCTCATAACCTTGAGAGGTCTGCATCCAGAAAGGTAGAGTATAGGTTGTAACTTGATTTTTTTAAACACACATTTTCACACCTCTTTCAAAGCGGGAGTAAGTAGACGAAGCACTTTCTGTAATCGCAAGGCTTGTTAGACTTAGCGAAAGCAGCTTGGCATCAATTAGGGTTTATGATGATGGTTTCCTTTACACCGCCACTGTACGATATAAAATAATAAGGCACTAATGTGTCGCGTGGTGTATGTCATCATTTGGATGTCGTAGGATGTGCCAGGAAATCTCCTTTCGTAGATGGCAGTATATCCATCGCTCACATCATCATAATCATCATTACTGACCTTCACAAGTCCACTGCTAAGCTGAACATTAACCTCCCCCAAGGGATGCCTATATCTATCGACTTCCTGCATGTTGTACAAGGTCTTCACTCCCTCTATTGGAGGGTCGCCCAAGGTATTCGAGCCACAGATGTAGCCTACGAAAAGTACACGTAAAAATAATAAAGTCATCAACATTAACGGACATGGGAACCCAGATTCGATCCCTGCTGGCACCAATGAAATTTTAAGTGCTTATTTACCACATATTTGGTGGTGAAGGAAAACATCGTGAGGAAACCTGCATATCTGAGAAATAAGAAAAAAATATTTTGAAGACGTGAAGTGCGTCAACACGCATTGGGGCAGCGCGGCGGACATTTTACTTTTCCTAAAACCTTCTCAGAAATGAGAGGAGGCCTATGCCATGTAGTGGGATAGGCTGTAACTTTAACTTTAACTTTTAACTTTTTACAATTTACAGATGAAAGTATACAAGCATAAGATAGTCGCGCGTTTCGGACTGATGCACATGATAGGGACAAACCTCAGCGTCTGGCTAAACGTCCTCATACAGGAGACGAAACACGAGATCCTCACCTTCTATGATCCCGAGAATAAAACCATTGGATTGAATCATCGGCTTGGTAAGTTCAATCACTCTATCTCACTTTTTATCAGCTAGCTTTTATTTTATCGTCTACTTACCAGATGCTCCAAAACAAGGGTTATGTAGTATGTAATATGTTATGTATGCATGTATATATAGGGTTATTTTTCAAAGAGTAGCCAAATTTGAAACTTAAGTTCAAATGTATAAATATTCTACTCCTTCTTTCTTGGCTTTTACTTTTATTTGAAATCATCCCAAATTCAATGTTAATTATGGGCAACAACTTATAACACCCCCCTGTTTTTGTTGAGGGTTAAAAATACCCATTTCAAGCAATGGCAAACGGTCCATTGCGAGACATAGGCCTTTTCTATTGTTATTAGGATTTGTCACAATGTAGAAAGAAAAATCATGTTTATAAACAACGTGCTTGTTTTTAGATATAATATAGTTGAACACAAAGACAACCGCTCGCGTTAGTCACGTAGTAAACGCAAGGACCAGGCATAATCTAGAACGCAGCGTTAGAGACGCGGGAATCATTAATGCACAAATACAGATAACCCCGTCTGGAATTTAAACCGTCAAGCCACAGTCAGATATTCAGACCACTAATGCGCGGTATCTATCTAACTATAATATATCCTTACAACTCGTCCGACGGTGTAAAAATGTATGGAAATAACATTTAACTCACCAAATATATAAATGTGAAGGATACCAATTTCGGTACAAACGACTTTCTAAGTGTTGAGATCTGAACGGATACAAAGCAGTTCCAAGAACGTTCTATTGATCCTATGCTTTAAGCAGCTTCGCGTTCCTTTCGCATTTATATTTTTAGTCCATCCGTGAAATTAGTTTTATTCAATGTGTAATATTCGCATACATATAAGATATCACCATACTGTTGTATTCTAAACCTGTCTAAAAAATGTTTGTTAATCACTGGCGAACCACAGTTATGGTACAATAAGGCGGTTTTATCGTTGAAAAGGAAAATTGTACTATTTGATAGTGGGAAGTGTATATTATATTAAACTTACATACTAATACCTAAATAAACTAAACCGATATATAATAACAAAATATATAATAGACTAATATATACAATAAAAATATGATAGGCCTACATAAGATTAAACAAGCAAATAAACATAAGTACATAAATAAATACAAAACAGATTTAATGTTAATTCAAAAATTAAATGCCGCAAACGATGAGCCGTGATTATTGCAGTGATAGGTAGTGATTTTTGACGTCAGTCTTAAACTTATATAGCGTTTTCGTAAGGCGAATTTGCGGAGGCAGAGTAATATATAACAAAATATTCCAGAAATAGTTATAACTAGTTTAACAAATAAAAAACCATAAAAGACTGTATGTAAAGTAAAGCGATGAATATGTAATGTAACACAAAGCAGCATCTTCCGGCCGAGTTATTATTTTCTTCACACAAGTCGAGCGGCAGCAATACGAAAATGCCGTGGCTGCAGGGGTGGTGATTTTAATGTTTTATCACTTGTATAGTCATTTCATCGCAACTCGTGCTTATATATATCTTACGCACCATTTAACTTTGTGTGGATAAACGCGTTTAATGAACCTGCCAGCTAGGTGGAACTATCTACCTGAAATACGTTTGGGATTAATTTTTAAGCTACAGTAAATGTTTGTTATGCGCCGAGACCAGGCCTGGAGTATAATAATGTTGTGAATTGAATGAGATGTGCAGAACAAATGCTTGTGTGAATTTTCATAAGCAAGTATATTCACGAAACAACCGTGGACAGTCTAAGCATCTGCTGAGGAATGGCTTGTACGTGGTAGAGCTACTTTACACTTAGTTGTGTTATGACGCTGCATGAATGGCTCGGCTCGGCCGTGGAAGGACTGTGCTCATAAAATTAAAAAAAAAGTATATTTTAATTATCTCTTTATTTCTTTTTAAGGCGTATTTTACTTTTTATTATATGTTCATTTTTTCACAATTTTCTCCTCTAAATTGTTACATCAAAAACTACATCCTCTATTGCCACTGAAGTATAACTTATTTAATAAAAAAAATATTAAAATCGGTTCACAATTGACATACAATCGAATGGTAAGCCTCCCGATTTATTTGGAGTCGGCTAAAAATGGCTGCTGTTTAGTGACGGGAAATGGAGATCCATTCGTTTTTATTAACTCGCTTTCGTGTATGTCTGTTCGGGTCTAATTTAGTAAATGATTTTAAACTTACTTCTGAGCCAGAGTCTTGAAATTTTGAACATACTCGGAACTTTGAACAGAATCGGTTGACAATGTAAGAAAATTAAAAAAATAATTACATTTTAGTCCGTTTTAAAAACGTGGTATGTTGAAAACATAATGTAATACTTAGTCGATGATAAATGGTATGAGACATGTACACCAAAGCGGCTTTGACTAAAAATTGTCCACGTAACATCTATGGCTCATAAGAATGTATGAGCCACATTTATTTGCCATCAAATGGGTTGCGTATTCATTTGCTAACTTGTACAATAATGTATCTAGGTTTTTTTTGGAACGAAGTTCTTTATCGGACGGTAAGGATTTGGCGGATGGGGGCTAGGCGACAAAAATGTAAGATTTTTCCGTCACGACACGTTCAGACGTACTGTAGACGGCCTTGGCGGCTATAAGGAAGCGAGATGGAATAATATCCATCTCCCTTTTTCTTCGTGCTTTTTCCTATCTTGCCATGAAAGAAATATTATTTTATTTTAAATCACGCTTCATTTTAATATACGCTAGCAATTAATTTATTTGTATTTGTTAATCAATAATATAATACGTTTATCGATAATAATATACTACGAAAGGAAGTTCATTCCAACCGAGTGTTCCACGACATTCACGCATGTTTCTTTTATAGAATGGGGGTGACAAAGGAGCACACAGTCCACCTGATAATAAGTGGATGCTATGGCCCATAGGCATCTACATTTATCCTCGATTAAGAATTAAAATGCAGATGCGTTTTACCACCCCTGATGACTAAGATCGTATCCAGTATGAGATCTTCGGTTCTCTACACTGACTATACGAAACATATCAGTATTAAGCTGCAATTTTACGCTGGCATTCTGTGAGAGCGTGGCCCTACACCGGTTGAAACGTTTACCTGTAGATAAAAATTGAAGACTAAATAGAATAGATGGCTGTTTTTGTTAAATAGTTATTTACTTGTCCTCTAATATGTATTTCTGAATGATAAATCCTTCTTACTGGAAACGAGGCATTCATTTCCAAGAAGGGTCTCCGGTTCTCTGCACTCACCATACGAAACACAGAAGTATTAAGCTGCTATTTTACGCTGGTATTCTATGGTTGTTCGCACTGTTGCGCTATTTAAGGCTAGATATAGATACATACATACACTTGAGCTGACTCGATTCTTTTACTATATAAAAAAATTAATGCGTGTTACGAGTACATTTGCTTGTTTAACATATACTAAATTTTTGTTGTGTATTTCATGTTATTCCATAGTTATTATTGATCAAAAATAAAAAAAACTGCGGTTGCCAACCCACTTGCCAAGCGTGGCAACTATGGCAGATATCCCCCCTATGATAAAATCTATAGGGGCGGCCTATTTTCAGCATTCGACTTTAATAGGCTGTAATTTGGAACTGAAATAAACAATAGATACCCGCGAAAGCTTTACTATATCCAAAGTACACGGTATCCAGCCGCAAACAGTTGAATATGTTGCGGACAATAGAAACTTCAACGTATTAAAATAATTCAATTCAGTTTACTATTTAACCAAATAGTAATCGAATAAATTGTGAAGAACATTTTTTTTTGCATAGCGGTAACACTGCCACGTACACATACAACCTAATTGCTAACCAATAATAGATGGTAGAGATTACCATATAGCGATAAACTCGACTTTTGTACAGGATTTTGCGGCAATATATAGTAAACAAGTCATCAATCAAATAATTGCACATTGCTTTGCCAATTTCGTCCAGGTAGTGAATATGTACGTGATGGAATGGGTCGTCTCGATCGGGAAAGGACTATAAAAAAGATAGTAACAGAAAGATTTTTGTTCAGTTACAAGTATGTAACGTTATTAACTTTACTAATTTCCTCTATAACCAATCCAAAAGTTAAAAAATTAAAAGTTACAGTCTATATACGGAATCCTCTCTCCTCTATTTTCTGAAAGGGTTTTAGGGCGAGGTAATGTCCACAGTGTTGCATGTTGGGAACATCACATGTCTTCGAAATATTTTTTTCTCATTTCTTATACATGAAGGTTTCCTCAAGATGTTTTCCTTCACCACCGAACACGTGATAAATCAGCACTTAAAACTGCAATTAACAAATTTATTCGTGCCGGGGGGGTCGAACCTGGGTTGCTCACGTACTGTGAAATTTACAGCGAGCGCTTTGCCCCTAAGCTACCGCGGCTCTTTACCGCCACTCTGTCTGATGTGCGAACCCTCGACAACGAACAAAATAAGCTGTTACAAACAGGGTAACAATTAAATATTAATCAGACCCAAAAAAAACCAACAGTTTGTATTTGTGTAATACAGATGTCGACTTGGACTGACATTCGACACCGGGACCAAAATATATCAGTTAAGTAAAAATAACCTTTGTCTAAAAATTTAAATTTAATTTGCTATAATATGTCGTATTCTTAAAACTTATTTGTTTTCCCGAATTAAGTGAAAATAGATTTTAATTATTTAAAAATATTATATAATTATGAAGTTTTTTGTTACTAAGAACAATAACGTCATTTACTACGACTCTCATACAATTTACATATTTAGTGTACAGACATAGAGACATATTAAGTGTTGTTGCTCTATTTTAATTGCATACTCATGCAACAAAACTGGTAACATTAGGAAGTGTAGTAGTACGTAATCATTAAAACTACTAACACGACATATTGATTACCACAGGACGTTGACCAGCCCTATTTGTTATTAACCGACTTATTTCCACGACACACGACAGCTACCCGTGACGTACGAAGC